TATCCTTTTATTAACTTTTCAGTGATTCATGGGTTCCTCATTCCATCCCAACATCAAACCTGAAGAGAGTGGTGGCATTTGAGCTGCCACCAACTATATCACTTTCCATCAAAAACCTGGTCATTTTGCTATTTGCCCTGGCTTTCTCCTTCTCCTTCTTACCCAGGAATCAAATCAATACTACTGTATTTCTAGAAAGGGCATGTCAATTAACCACACTGTAGGTCATTACTACCCCTGTGGCTCCTTTCCCTATTTCTTTCCCTGGCTAAAATATGTATATATGTATGTATGTGTGTGTGTGTGTGTGTGTGTATGTATGTATGTATGTGTGTGTGTGTGTTGTGTGTGAGAGAGAGAGAGAGAGAGAGAGAGAGAGAGAGAGAGAGAGAGAGAGAGAGAGAGAGAGAGAATCGCCCCCTATCAGAATGTAACCTCTTTTAGGGCAGGGACTTTTGTATTTGTGTCCACAACATTTTGTGCCAGGCATGTGGAAATCACTTAAATGCTTTTTCATTCAGTTATTCATGAAGGCTATTGTACTATTCTGAATATCTGCCTTTACTTAAAATTGCAGTCAAAGAATGAAATCTAAGTTGACAGATCTATACTGTAATAAAAATGGAAATAATTTTTTTGGAAAAAAGTAAATGCTTTAAAATAGTAAAATAGTAATTTGTCTGTAGTTGACATTAGATCAACTAATTTATTTCTATTTATGGCAGCAAAGTGGTGCAATGGATAGAGTGCCAGGCCTGAGGTCAGAAAGACACATCTTCCTAAGTTCAAATCTGGCCCCAGACACTTACTAGCTGTGTGACCCTGGGCAAATCACTTAACCTGGTTTGTCTCAGTTTCATCATCTGTAAAATGAGCTGGAGAGGGAAGTGGCAAACTGCTGTAGTATCCTTGCCAAGAAAACCCCAACTTGGATCATGAAGAGTTGGACATGACTGAAAAATAACCAGAATTTCTACTTATATCCTTCAGAACCCAAGATGAGTCAAATATAAAACAGAATTGAGAAACATGCATTTCCAATTTGTGTGCAGGCCCACAAGTCTCATATTCCGTTGAGACCATGAAGTAATAACCAATCAGTGCCTTCCATTGCTTCTACCTTTCTGGGGAAAATCCTAGCTTAGTGACTGGTTATAAGCAACAGTTTAAAATAATAGAATACAGATAAAAAGATAACATGTACTTTTGAACCAAAAGTCAGAATTTCATTTCTTACAAGCATACAATCACGAGTAATTGTATATCTTTGGGAAAAGCAAATACACAGGAACTAGATTGACTTGGTTTGGTAAATATTAGCAGGATAATAGCTGTATTTTGGCTACAGTTTAAGGCTTATCTTCAAGTGGCTTTTTTTTTTTTGCATTTGACTCATTTCAATGGCTGTGATTTCCCCAAGTGTAGGGAACTTCCAGTGAGGAAACTCCCTATTCCAAAACAGAAGACCAACTGTTCTGCAACTTAAATCTTAGAAAATGCACTGAGAAGTTACATAAGTCACCTAAGGTCTCCAAGTCACCTAAGGTCAAAAATCCTGTGTCAAAGGCAGAACCTGAACCCACAGTTAAGAAAACTCCCATTGTCTGTGGTCTGCATGGTAACATATCGATAAATAACTTAAGGGGTGAAAAACCAACATGACCAGATTTTATTCTTTGTATTACATGCTTTTAGTGGGGTGTAAATCGTGTTTTTCCCCATCATTTCAGTATAGTGAACCAGTAGACTAACACTAAATTTTGTGAGTTCTGTAGCCATAAAAGCATGGAAAATGACCTCAGCTAAGAGACTTTTCTGATTAGCAGATGATTTCTATACTTAGAAATGCATGTTTTATCCAAATAACTGATGAAGATTAGATTTATCACAGAATTTGAAATGGAAGAGATCTCAGTGACTATTCCCTCCATAACATAAATTAGTGGTCATCTTCGCTCGTATCTCCAGTAGGAAACCCATTCTCTTTTTAAAAAAAATTTTTTTGGGGTTAAATTTTGAGTTCTGTGTTATTTCCCTCCCTCCCAACCCCTTGTTAGCGGCCAACATTTGACATTTGTGTATATAACTATGCCATACATATACTTCCATATATCAGTTCATTCTCTGGTGGTGGATAGCATTTTCCTTCATTTGTCCTTTGCAGTTAATTTGAATGTTAATATTACTCAGAAAACCCATTCTCTCCTAAGGCAGCCTGTTCCACTTTGGATAACTTTTTGGAAATCTTTCCTTATCTCAAGACTGTTTCCTCTTTGCAACTTCCATTCACTGCTTCTAATCATGGCCCCTGGAGCTCAACAGGTTTTTCTACATGATGACTTTTTAAATACTTGCAGACAGTTATCTCTTATGCAAGTTAAATATGGGCAGTCTCTTTAACTGAGCAGTCTCACATCACCAGTTGTCTTTTAGACATCGTGAATTGGATATCACATAGGTGAAAAATAAGCTCATCTTTCCCCTAAGCCCTCCACTCTTAACTTTCCTTCCAAATCGCAGTGTCACTCTGGCTCCTCACTTATACACTCACCCTACATGCTGGATCTGATGTTGTCTTGTCCTTTCTAACTTCACACATCCCTTCTGCTACTCACATAGTAGCTACCTTCGTACATACAGGCTTTCATCACCATAAACGTGGACTATTTATTGTAACAACTTTTTGGTTAGACTCCCTCAAGTCTCTCACACTCCAATCCACTCCAATCCACTCCATTCAACTGCCAGTGATTTTTCATAAAGTGCAGTTCTAACCGGGTCATCCCCCACTTACTCAAGTATAGTCTTGCCTATTATTTCCAGAATCAAATATAAAACCCTGTTTGACTTTTAAAGCTTTTTACAACCTGGCCCCTTAACTGAGCCAAATTTTTAAAAAATAGGAGCTATTCCCCAATTGATAAATTATATGAACAGAGAGTCTTCAGAAGAAATTGAAACTATCAATAGTCATGAAAAAATGCTATAAATCACTAATAACTAGAAAAATGCAAATTGAAACAACTCTGAAGTATCATCTCATATGCATCAGAATGGGTAATATGAAAGAAAAGGAAAATGACAAATGCTGGAGGGGATGTGAAAAAATTGGGACACTAATGCACTGTTGGTGGAGCAGTGAACTAGTCCCACCATTATGGAGAACAATTTGGAACTATGCTCAAAGGATTACCAAATTATACCATTTGACCCAGCAAATATTTCTAGATCTATTCCCCATGTAGATCCAAGAAAAGGAAAAAGGCCTCAAAAATTGGAAACTGAGAGGATGCCCATTAATTGGGGAATGGCTGAACAAGCTGTGGTATATAAATGTGACAGAATTCTATTATGCGCTAAAAAAATGATGAAGGGGAGAACTGCAGAAAAATTTGGTAAGATCTGTATGAACTAATACAAAATGAAGTAGGCAAAACCAGGAAAACATACAGCAAAAGCAATATTGTAATGATAATCAAATTTAGCAACTCTGATCAATACAGTGATCCACAAAATTTCCAAAGGATTAATGAAGAAAATGTTAACTACCTCCAGATAGAAAACTAATGGACTCAAGTGCAGATTGTAGCATATTTTTTCCTTTTTTCTTCTCCTCCTTGCCTTACCCCTCCACCCAATCCTGGCTAATAGTGGAAATGTTTTGCATGACTTAATACGTATAATGGATATTGTCTTTCTTGCCTTTTCATTGAGTACAGAAGGAAGAGAATGGGAAATTGAAAATAAAAATAACTGGGCCCTTTCTTACCTTTCCAGTTTTCTTACACTTTATGTACCCTATTATCCAGTTATGCTGGCCTATTTGCTGTTCCTTGAACAGAACATTCTGAAGTCCCAACTCCATAACTTTTTCCCTGGCTGTTCCTCATGTCCAGAATGCTCTCCCTTTTCACCTCCACTTCCTGACTTCCCTTAAGACTCAGATCAAGTCCCAACCTTCTGCCAGAAACTTACAGACTCAAAGCCTTACAGTATAAGACTTATTTCATCTTGGTTCTCCTCCTCTGGGCACATATCAATGTTCTTCCTAAAATGTGGTACCCATAATATTTCATGATTGTCTGACTGGGGGAGAATTACAACAGTACTATTACTCCTTGCTCCTGAATACTAAGTGAGTTAAAAAATTTTGAATTAGATAAGACTTGAGTTCACTCTTTACCATCATATTATTTGGAATATGCCTCTTCCTCCCATGCAAATCATATCCATTCTACAAGCCTATCTCTTTCATTAGGCTCTTTTTTAGATCTTAATGATCTCTCCTTTTAATTCATATTATAAACGGAGTGCTGAACTTGAAGTTTAAATCCTAGCTCTGTCCCTTATTAGTGGTGTGACCATTAAGATCTCAAGGGATTTTTGGTATCATGGACCCTCTCAGCAGTCTAGAGAAACCAATGGACTCCTCCTCAGAAAGTGTTTTAAAGTAATCAAAAAGTTAGATTTAAGTTAGAGGTCAGTGAAATAAAGATGTGGTTTTTTTCCCGAATCCAAGGTTACAAACCTCTGGAACGGGGCGGGCTTATGTATATACCAAATGTACATATATACTCTTCTGCATAATTTGCTATTTCTTAACTCTTTATTCTCAATGAGAATTTCAAGTTCCTTAAGAGCAGAGACCATGTCTTATAGTGATAGGAAGAGGACCTATATCAACAGGATAGGATACTTCCTCTGCCCATGGAGCTTGGCACCTTCTCTGGAATGTATAGCCTTAGAGAGCTGCCTTGAGTACTGGTATGCTAAGTGACTTACCTAGTGTCATTTGTGTAGCCCTGGCAGGACTTGATCCCAAATCTTCTTGGCTCCAAGGGTGGCTCTATTTACTTATGTCATCCTACTTCTTGAATGTTTATCTCCCAGGGCTAAGAATACATGTGCTTAAGTAGAATTTTGATGGTTTCACAGCAGTATGCTGAAGCATCTCCTTTTTTATATAAACTATTTCATATTAGAAAGAAAGAGGCTTTAAGGAGCATTAAAAATTATTTTTATTTAGAAGTACATCGAATATGAAGTCAGTTACATTTAGTGTTTAATTAAGGTTGTTTAAAAGTTGATGATGATAATTTGTAATCTTTGTTTCTGTCATTCTCATGCTCAGGTTTAACACACACACATTATTTTTTCAAGTAAAATAAAAACCTGTTTTATAGTTGGCTCTTTGATTTCAAAAGAAATGGCCCCTGCTGTACTGAAATGAAGCCATTTGAAGCCGAGCTTTAAGGCGTTCAGCTTCCACTTCCCGAAAGAAGAGGTCATCATCATTTTTAATTATCATGGTCTGCAACTGCTGAATTTCTTGCTCCATCTTGGATCTCAATTCCCGTTTCATTTTATGTAATGTCTGAAAGAGAATTCAGATCATCATGTTTATTCAGTCTTTTGGGTATGTCTGCTTTCATCCAAACCTTCTGGGTCATTAGATACACTGGCAAAGGAGGGAAAAGAATGTGAAGAAGCCCAGATGATTTGCTTATTTACTACCAATAAGAACAAGAGGAGTAGGGTTAAAACTAGACTTAAATGAGTTGTGGGATATGTGAATTTGGAATATTTCCTTCATTCCCCCTTAGCATGGATAATGGTCTCATTTTTACTCCTTTGCAGGAAAGTGTGTATAACTTCCTGTTAATTACCTTTGTTTGGGCTTTCTCTCTCATTTTGATTTCTTGACGTTCCTGTGATACAGCTTCTGCTAGCATTGCAAACTGTTTAGAAGAAAGAAATAGCCCTTATGTAGTCATTCTTTTGTTGGTGGCTACTTTAGAAGGAACTGGGGCACAGAATTAAGCATTATGAGTTTCAGATTGTGAGTACTGCCTCACAAGAATGTTCTTGTAAAATGTTGATGTTTAAATACCTTTCAATATCATATGGTAACCTAAGAGCTTATGATTTACTCTTAGTTCAAGCCAATTTTTGACATGCAGAAAGGTTTAGTATGTTATGCTATTTGCAAAGTACTTAACATTACTTTGGTACCTGATCCTTATAATAATTCTCCAATGATTCCAGTTCATTCTCATGCAGTCTCTTTTGTTCTTCTCGCTTATCTTTGGCGTAGTTTCTCAGTTCTTGCAATCTTAGTTTTTGAATTTCTAAACCTTCCCTGAAGAGGTTCTTAAATATCTGTCAAAGATAATTTTAGTAAGAAAAGGACTTAATTTGAAAACAGTAACAATAATAATAGCTAATACATAATAGATGATATGATATAGCTATAATATAGACCATATAAATCAATATAGCATATTACATATATTATCCTCATTTTATCCATACAACAACCCTGTGAATAGATAGGATTATTTTAAAAATAAGAGAGGTTAAGTGACTTGTACTCAGTTACATAACTATTATGTTTCTGAGTCAGGATTTGAACTCAAATCTTACTAATTCACCAAGCCACCTCAGTTTGATTATTTGTACTGTTTTGTACAATTCCCACTATGATCATCTTTCACAGGTAGCCATTCTTGCAGGAAAGATCTTATAAAGTATGGATCAGAAAGAACACCAATTTAATTTAAAGTATTTTTCTTGGGAACATAGGCTAGGTTAGCAGGCTGTGGTAAAGAACAGATTATCTGACAAATGATACTGTGCATATGCTCACTCATTTCCCATTTGGCAATGTGAAAAAGTGATTTTTACAAAAAGCAGAATCTTTCTGCTTAAGAATAACTCTTAGCTGGCTAGCAGATTATGAAAACTAAAAACTCCCTTTAAAGATAAAGGTGTAGCACATTTTGTGATAGCAAAGAATTGCAAAAAAAACCAGTAGATGCCCAATCAAACTGTGGCACATGAATGTAATGGAATATCAGTGGCTGTAAGAACTGATGAATGTGACATATACAGAAGCATGGAAAGGTCTACATACACTGATGCAGAAGTGAGCAGAGCCAAGAAAACAACATATACAATAACTACAACAATGTAAACAGAACAAACAACCACGTGCACAAAAAAATCAGAAGTGAGTCTTGCAAAATTATAAAGAACATGCAAGAATGGCTTAAAAGAAGGGATATGAGATGATACCTCAACTCATTCCTTTGCAGAGGTGGGAGGTCTACAAGCATTGCACACTGCACATTTCTTCAGACTTTTCCAATATATTGATTAGTTACACTGTTTTCTTTCTCTTTTTTTGGTCTTAAAAAATACTATTTGTTGGGATGGCTCTCTGGAAGGGGTAAGGGAGTAGGAATATGGTGGAAAACTATGGTGATATTAAAAAAAACATAAAAAATACAGTAATAAAAACTTAATTTAAAAAAAGATAAAGGTAACAAGGTCAACAGCTAAGTAGAATAATAAGGACCTGACTATAACTTAGAGAAGTAGATAATACTGAGTGCCAATTTAGATAAGAAGACATAGCTAACGTTCACATAGAACTTTAACATTTACAAAATCCTTCACATATTATTTGATCCTCAAAACAACTCTGTGAGTGAGATGCTATTATTATCCTCATTTTACAGATGAGGAGGCTGAATGTTAAATGCCTTACCAAGGGTCACGCTGCTAGGAAGTGTCTGAGGTGGAATTCAAACCCATGTCCTTCCTGACTCCAAGGCCAGTGCTTTATTCACTACTATTATGTTTGAAAATTACCATGTTGCTTCTTACAACTAAGACTGTTGTCCATAGCTATAGGACATTACCAGAGCTTTGTAAAATATAGTGTACCCATCTTTACAATATAGTTGATTTTCTCTTTTCTTCATGTAGCTGACAAAAAGAAAACCTTACTTTCAGAAAATCTCACTTACTTTTTTACTTAGCATTTAGAAGATCAGGGGATTTGGTGCTAGAAATAATCTTAGATTAGCTGATCCAACTCCCTCACTTTACAGATAAGGAGACTGAGGACCAGAAAGGTAATATGGCTTAAATCTCTCTGGTCACCCAAGTATTAAAGCTGATATTTTAGCCCAGGTCCTCTAACTTTAAATCCAGTGTTGTTTACTATACCACACTGCTAGCTCATATACCAGTTAATTTGGTGGCCAAAGGTCCTAGAATCCTAAAGGAGTGGCTCCTGCCATTGCAACAAGCTTTGAAAAATCTTTGGACAGTCATAATGAACTGTTTTCAAACGAATAAAATCAAACTGAAATCTCAACTCTCTTTCCCTTTGTGGTCTTTTACCTTTTAACCCACCCCACCTATAAAGTATATAGTATTTACACTCCAAATAAACTGTAAGATATCAATGATGAACTGGGAATTATAAGGTGACATTACAGAAGAAAAATATCAAGAGAGGTAGGTTTTTGAGTAGAGCTGGACAATGAAATATCTTGATCTTCATTAAGCTTTAGAAATATACTCTTGAGTATACCAAGTACTTCAGGGTTATCAGATGAGTAATTTCTATGAAGAGATGGTAACAATGACTTGGATTTTCTAGACACATATATCATCTGTCAGTGTTATGTATATATATGCATATACACATATATGTATATGCGTACATATATACAAATAAATATATATAGCAGGCATAAACAGGTTGTCTTTCAAAAGGTAGAGAGTCAAGTTAATAGCCTTTCTTCAACATATCACTGGAGATTAGGAATTTGGGAGAGGAGAGTTAAAGTAGTATTTATTTACCACTTCTTCACGAGTCCGTGTTCGTATCATTTTTGCGTGTAACTGAACCCTATAGTCTTCGTAGTATTTTTTGGCTCGAATGATTTGCTGTCGTCTCTCTTTTATCTTCATTTGAGTTGACTTCTGTCTACATATACGTTCCTTAAAATCTTGCTAAGAACAAACAAAAAAAGATGTTTCAAACCATAAGGTCACTTTGGGGGGGGGGGTCCGAAATTTCCAAATGTCTCTCATGTTCTGCTACGTTCCTTCTACTTTGTACTGTATCTATATGTTTATCTTTACCTAGTAATCTTCTGAGGTGCTATTTTACTAAAACTTTGACTAGATGGTTTTTAAAGTTCCTTCCAACTTTTTACCCAATACAGAAATCGTTGTTCTCAATGAAAAGATTTCATCCATGTTCACTGTTTTTGTTCTAGTCTAATTGTTTAAATTCTTTCATATACTAAATCCAAACCTGTTTACCCATAACGTCTGTCCTCTGCAACAATACAACCTGTTTACTTCATGACAGTTCTTCAAATATTAAAATGGAGCCCTCATGCCTTACATTTCTAGGCTAAATAACTCAAGTGCCTTTTACTTCTGCTCATATGAAATGGTTTCCAGACCCTTTGCCATCCTGGCTGCCTTCTTCTGAATATGTCACGAAGGTGTGTTGATGTGCTTTTTAGAAATGTAAACTGAGAAACAAGTACAATATTTCATCTGACTAGCCGGGGATGACTATGATTACCTATATTCTGACCACTACACCTTACCATAAGATTGTTTCTGCATCTCAAGAGCAAGCTTAGCCCACATCTCACAATCTTATCCAAATTCTTTTCTGAAATTAGTATGTATACCAACTTTGATTTGATGTATCAAACCTTATAAGAAAAAGTTTGTTAGAAAAAGGAAAATGTTTAGTTTGCTCTGAATTTTTTAGTGTACACAAGACTCTAGTGAGTTACTATATTCCTTTTTAAATGTTTATAAATTCCTTGTTTAATAACCTAGATTTTTGCTGGGCTTATTTATTGGTCTATAATTTTGGGACTCCACCATTTTCTTTTTTGCAAACAGGGACAATTCTGCCTGTCTCTTGCTTTCTGGCACCTCTCCTGGTTGACATGATTTCTCAGTAATGGCCATAACATCACAGTTGCTATCTTTCAGTTCTATCAGTATCTTGGAAACAATCCGTGTCGGAAACTATGGGTTCCCTTTAAGCAACTAAATGCTTTTATGCTATTTCTAGACCTATCTCAGGTTTGAGTTCCCTCTCCAAGATTACCCGAACATTTCCAGTATGAAAAGTTTCCTCCTTGCTAAAAAAGATGGAAGCAAAACAGAAGTTGAAAAGCTCTGCCTTCTGCAGTCTAGTAACCTTGTACCATATAGTAATAACCAGCACTTACATAACACTTTAAGGTTTGCAAAGTGCTGTACTTAGCTTATCTCATCTGATCCTCATAACAACCCTACAAGGTAGGTGCCATTGTTATCCCCATTTTACAACTGAAGGAACTGAGGCACAGAGAAGTAAAGTTAAATGACTTGCCCTGGATCACGCAGCCAGCAAGTGTTCTGAGGAAGGATTCAAACTCAGGTATTCCTAACTTGAAGTCCAGTATTCTTACCCACTGTGCCATCAAACTACCTATCTACTCCAAACCATGACTTATCCTTTTTACATGTGGACAGGACTTAGGAATCATGTTTGTTTGCTTTTAACATGAGCCAGAATGGGTTTGTTCCGTTAAGGGACTGGAAGAATAATGTAATTACCTCTATAACAGCTCTACATATTATATGACAATAAATCTATATCCACGTATAGCAAATAAAAATAAGCAGAGTGTTTAATGCATTCTTTTATAAATAAAAAGTTTTGGCAAATGAATATTTTCCCCTAACTTACCAGTCTCTTATTATGTTCATGTTCTTTCTTAACAATTTCAGCCAGGAGATCATGTCTTCTTAGTGCTTCTTCAATCTGGAAATTAAATGGAAAGAAAGAAATAGGTTTTGATGCTGTAGTCCATGAACCCCAGTACATGCTCTCCTCAGGCTATTCTTTTGTAGAACTATTGCCTGCACTACTTGGCCTTTCAGTTTGAAAAAAACCTTTGTAATATGATAGAAACTCACTTTAAACTGGAATTTCTTTTTTGACTGTTCCATTCCAGATGTCACCTTCCTCAGCTGTTCAGTTTGAAAGAGCTGTTGTTTCCACATTTTCCCAAGTGTTTGGCCAGAAATATGGAGGTATGGAAACTCTTCCAGAAGCATGGGCAAAAGATTGTCATCCTTTATTTTCACTAAATATGAAGACAAATGCAATGAAAACATGAAGTCTGGCAAAGTGAATAACACAATTTTCCAACTGCTATAATCCTTACTTGTATCTTAGTGATGTCATGTGCATTAAGGCACATCACTTTACTAGTATTCTACTTCACCCCAATGTTACCTTGTCCCTATTAGTGACAGCTGCAATGTTGTGGTGGAGGCTGTTTTCAGCTCACTCATCTTTCCTGAAGCTACACAAAGCAAGCAGAGAGCCTAATTAAGGATTTGTAAGAATGCCCTATTTTGTAACTGTGGGGAATAAAACCAAGGCCGTAACTCTGTGGAACAAAGAACATTCTGGCAATCCTTGTGGCATGCATTGGTTGTCCTTGTAACTGGAAGGACAAGCTCCCAGTAGAATCCTGGCCAGAGAAACAGGAAAATTGCTTGGGGGTTTCCTTCTTGCTTCACTAGTTTTCTAGAACCTAAGAAGACTGGTGATGTAGGGAAAACAAAAGTGTCTGAGTCCAAACTCACAGCAGTGATGAAGAGCTAGTAGTCATAGTCTTTAGTTTGATCCTAGTTTATCAGGATTCCTGCTCTAATCAATCAGTAAGAATATTCCATCCCACTGTGTCATTCAACCTATGAATGAGGAAAGAAATACTTAGCTGACTAGTTGGTTTCACTCTTGAATCTGTGGGGTTTCCTGTGCACTCTCAAACGATGCTACTTTTCCACCAAATACAATTTTATGGTCCTTACGTGGAACTCCTTTCTTTGCCTTCATGATGTTCCCGCTTGGAATCCACTGACTGCGTTTGAGATTCCAAGGCATGGTTTTTTTAGAATAAACTTTCACTGGCTGAAAAGTTTTCGGAGGTCTTTTATGGATATTTTCTTTGTATTCTTGTTCCTTAGAAACAAATGCAAAATTGTTATGGAGAGGGCAACTTTTAAGTAGAGAACAGAAATATGGTTATCTTTTCTCCTACTATTAACCCTACCAATTAGCCCCTATAAAATGGGCTCCCTCAGATAACCAACAGTAGTTCTGAAATACTTGGAGAGGCTAGTATATAATGGAAATAATGACACTTTAACATTTATAAAAATACTTTCCCCATGATAATACTGTGGCATAGGTTCTACAAGTTATCTTTAGTCCCCTTTTTACAGGCCTTGCTCATAATCACACAGCCATTAAGTATTAGAACCTTCCCACTGACCCCTGGGAAGAATAAAAACTTTTAACTGGCAAGGTTCAAGAAGAATAGAGACTGTACCAACCTTCTACCCATGTCTTAGTATCTCAGGCAGGACAGATAGTTAGAAGATCTTTTCCCTAAAGAGCTAATAATTAAGCTACTCTTGGAAGTGATTTTTCTTCTCTTTTCAAAACCTTGTTTGTTCTTGTTATTGTTAACTCAGACCTACATAACATCTTGTGCCCTTATATAGTGCTTTTCCCACCACAACCCTGTGTTATGCCTGAGACTCAGAAAGACTTAAGTGACTTGCCAAGGACTGCACAACCATACATGGAAAAGCCAGGACCTAAACTCAGGTCTTCTGAGACTCTAACTCTAGTGCTTCTTCCATCGCACTATACCGCCTGGTCTAATGTTTCTTCATGTTATGTTCAAATGCCTTCATCCCAACTGAAAATCTTAGCCTACTGTTACTTCCTGGTCTTCATTCGGCATCAGAAGTCCATTTGCTTCTTGAATTTCACTTCTATGCAACTGCTTTTCAAATGTGTCAGCTAACACCTAGAGAAAAAGTCAAGTCCCCCAAGACGTTACAAATACTAATCAAACTAATAAAAAACAAGGGGTTGGGAGGGAGCGTTTATTCAATACTGACTAGACCCTACACAAACAAGCATTCTACATTCTCAATGTCTCTAGGAGAGACAGATTGATACTATATCTGACTCATTTGCAGCATTTTACACTGCTGACTTTATTGATACCTTCCATCCATGATATTGTCACTGTGTACAACATTTTCCTGGTTCTGCTCACTTCACATGACATCAGTTCATATAAGTCTTTCCAGGTTTTTCTGAAACCATCCTGCCCATTAATGGACAGCCCCTCAATTTCTAATTCTTTACCTTCATCCATGATAGGAGAATACAGTGGCTCTCATTTCTCTGAGCATTCTTCTGTCTTCCCTTTGAGCTCCTCAATCTATCCTCTGCCCCTCAAATATATGTGTACTTCAAGGCTTTCTTCTTTTCTTCTATTCTCCCTAGGTAATCTAAATCTAATCCCAACTCTGTGCAATTTGGCTCAAATCTTTTTCTGCCTCCAACAAAATATATTGGAGAAATATGAGACAAAACTGATTACTGATTCTGGAGGTGGGAGAGAGGGAGGGAATGTGTGTATGTTGGGAATAGGGTAATCAGAGAAGGCTTCATGGAGGAAACAGCATTTAAATTACATTTTAAGGGATAGCAAGGAATTTAACAGATGAAAGAAGCAAAGTAGAGTCGAGGAAAAGGCAAGAGTTTATAAAAATACAAAGAAAAGAGCATGACCCTTTCTTCCTTTTTTTAAACATTTGTTTTTTAAATTTTGAGTTCCAAATTCTATTATATTCCTTCCCTCCCTGAGATGGTAAGCAATCTGATACAGGTTATATATGTGCAATCATGTAAAACATTTCCACATTAGTCCATTTCGTGCAAAAATACAGAAAGGAAGGAAGGAAAAAATAGTATGCATCAGTCTCTATTCAGATGACATCAGTCCTTTCTCTGTAGGTGGATAACATTTTTCATCATGATCCTTTGGGATTGTCTTGGATCACTGTATTGCTGAGAAGAGCTAAGTTATTCACAGTTGCTCACTGTACAATATTGCTGTCACCATATACAATATTCTCCTGATTTTGTTTACTTCACTTTGTATCAGTTCATGTAAGTCTTTTCAGATTTTTCTAAAATCATGCTGCTCATCATTTCTTATAGCACAATAATATTCCATTACAAACATATACCACAACTTGTTCAGCCATTTCCTAATTGACGGGCATCCCCTCAATTTCTAATTCTTAGCCACCACAAAAAGAGCTGCTATAAATATTTTTGTACAGATAGATAACTGCGCTCTAAAATGGTTGGATCAGTTCACAACTCTACCAACAGAGCATTAGCATCCTAGTTTTTTCACATCCCTTCCAATATTTATCATTTTCCTTTTCTGTCACATTAGCCAATCTGATGGGTGGGAGGTAGTACCTCAGAGTTGTTTTAGTTTGCATTTCTCTAATCAATAGTAATGTAGAGCATTTTTTCATATGACTATAGATAGCTTTGATTTCTTCTGCCTGTTCATATCCTTTGACCTTCCATCAACTTGTATTCTTATAAATTTATAAGCTTATAAACTTATATTCTTATAAATTTGACTCAGTTTTCTACATATCTGAAAAATGAGGACTTTATCAGAGATACTTGCTGTAAAATTTTTTATCCTAGTTCTCTGTTTTCCTTCTAATTTTGGTTGCATTGGTTTTGTTTGTACAAAAACTTTATTTTTAAAAAATCAAAATTATCCATTTTATATTTTGTAATGCTTTCTATATCTTGTTTGGTTCTAAATTCTTCCTTTTCCATAGATAAACTATTACATGCTCTCCTAATTTGCTTACCCTACAGGTCATGTATCCATTTTAACTTTATTTGGGTACATGAATATGAGATGTTGGTCTATACCTAGTTTCTGCCATATTGTTTTCCACTTTTCCTCAGCAATTTCTGTCCTGAAAAAGCTTAGATTTGGGGTTTATCAAACACTAAATTACTATGGTCATTTCCGGTAATGTGTACCTAGTCTATTCCACTGATCCACTGCTCTATTTCTTAGCCAGTCCAAGTTGGTTCTGATTATTACCACTTTATGATATAGTTTGAGATCTGGTACAGTTAGGGTCTTTTCCAAATCTTTATCCTTCATGACCTCTCAGCACGCATTTGACACTACTGCTCACCCTCTCAGGTTCAACTGTCTCTATGCAAAACAGTCCTAAGACCTATTTATCTACTCCTAGTTTCTTCCTTGAGCTTCAGCCCACTCTATATCACCAAAAGCCTATTCCAACTCAGTATATTCAAAACAATTCATTATTTTTCTCCTCTAAGCCCTATCTCTTCTTCCTAACTTCCCTATTTCTTTCACTGGTGCCATCATCCTTCTAGTTAACCAGACTTGCAACCTTAAAGTCATCCTCAATTCACTCTCTGTCACCCCGCATAGCCAATCTGTTGCCAAATCTAATCAAATTCACCTCCACAACATTTATTTTTACCTTTCCTCTCTCTACTGAAGAAACTGGTCAACTATTTTCAATTCGGGAGTAACATCTGTAGCATTTGACACCTCCCAAATGGTTTGCTTCCAGTGTTTTTTCCCAACCACACTAACTTGCGCTCCATTCATTACTTGTTTATGATACATTATCTTTCTCCTTTTCTGTGTTCCTTCACTGGCTCTTTCTCTTTCCACTTCCTCGATGGAGGCATAACCAAAGTTCAGTTCTTTTTTTCCTCTTCCTCTGGGAAGTATTTACTTATGTGATATCTATTACATTGATGACTTCCAAACCTATGTCTACCCTGACCTTTTAAGCCGCAGGTCCCTTAAATTATTCTCCATTTTAACACTTTGTCTAAAACCCAAACTCATCACTCCTAAGCTCACTGACCTCTTCCAATTTCTCATTTCCACCACTTTCCTACTTAGCTAAATTACAGATTTTGGGATCATCTTTAGATAATGCAATTAAAGAAGGGATGAGTCAATGCGATCAATGTCTATTTTTCCTTCCAAACTAGAAGTCTCCCTTCTTTTCTTTACCTCTATTAACCTGGACAACTGGAGATGTCTTGATCTATCCTGCCACTGGACCCAGATGGCTCAGGAGGAAAAAGTAAGGCTTGTGACCTTGCACAGTTCTCCCTCACTTAAATCCAATTCACTTGCAAATCATGACATAATCTTCCTAATGTCACGGTCTTCTTTGAAAATGAAGGACAAACAACCACCTGTGAGTAGTCCAAGCTGCCCCACTGGGGATCCAACTGACCAGTTCCAATTGGGCAACTCAACTCCTCTCCTCTATCCTTTCCCTTCCTTTCTTCCTCTCCCTCTGTCCACATGAAGTATCATGCCTTTACCTGTGGGTGCTCTGCCCAAAGGAAGGTAAATTTTGATGGCTGAAACCCAGCAAGATATCTTGGGCTTTACTGACTGGATTTCATTCTTGAAGACCACACCTTAAACTCAATTCATTCTGGCTCTCCTGGATTGGTCACAAGGTCCCAACCTAAGCACCAGTTAGTAGTCATTGTTTGGACTTAAGAGTGAATGTAAATACTGTTTCAGTTTTGGCCAGAAACCCTGAGGGTCTTCCCCTCTCAGATTAATTTTTTAAATTAGGTAAAAGGGGCCATTCCTTGGCTCATTTCTTAACCAGCCTTAATCACTTAATGGACAAAAATCAGTCAAAGTGAGAACTCTTAGCTTAAAAAAAGCCAAGATCTCCCACTGCATCTGGGGCCATCTCCAGGTATACTGATCTATATCTTGCCACTGGACCCAGATGGCTCCCTCAGGAGGATAAAATGAGGCTTGGTGATCTTATATAACCCTCTCTCACTTAAATCTAATTTACATGCAAGTCATGGCATCATCTTCCTGATGTCATTGAGGTCCTCTTCAAGAACAAACAACATTAACCTAATCCAGTCCCTGAAATCATCTCCCAAACAAATTACTACTAAAAGAGCATCCTACCTTATGTGCCCAACTTGTGTCTCATTAAAACCTTAGAACAGGTCAGAATACTAATTTTTCTCAAATACCTCTTTCATTACATTACTTCTGTCCTCAAGACCTTTTGATAGTATGGCATCATTTAACCTTCCTAACACATCAGAGTCCCAAGACAATATCCTTTTCATGACTCCACAAACTACCCATTTAATTTTGCTTCCAAATGCAAATGCATTGGGTCCAATGCAACTATTCTTTTATGCTCCTATGTGTGCCATCTTTTGGATGGAGTGGGATAAGTTATTTTTGAAAAACTATCCCAACACACTATGTTCATCCTTAGTTCTGCATCTTTGCCAATTCTGTTCATGTCCAATCTGTCACAATACAATCTCTTCCTTACTTCAAAATGGCCTCATTCATTCTTCATTAGACTATAAGACCTATCTTTCCTTAACTTTGTGTTTTACCCAGGACCTTATACAGTATGTTGAACAAAGACATTTAGTAACAGAAAATAAAACCCAGTTTAAGCTGTACTTTATTCATAAAGCTTTCCTGACATTTTGGCCCACAGTGAGATATCTCTCTTTCTGATCTCCCATTGTAGACAGTTTTGTATGGGTACCATACATTTGTAATCAATTATATTATATCAGGAATTATTCTCTAATTGTTTCATGTGTATAACTGTCAACTTCCCTAAGAATTATTAAGTTTTATAAATGCAAGGGTTGTGTCAAGTACTTATTTTTTATTACTTACAGTGCTGTGCACACAGTAGGTATTAAAAAATAACAACTAAGTGGTCCACTTTTGAGTATAAAGAAGTCAAGTGCAAAAGGTATAAAGTAAAGGATACCAATCAGAACTTCTCTAATACCAAAGTGTATGGCCATCATTTACCTTTTCTTTTTGTTTTTTGCTTTTTAGTGAGGCAATCGGGGTTAAGTAACTTGCCCAGGGTCACACAGCTAGTAAGTCTCAAGTGTCTGAGGTCAGATTTGAACTCAGGTCCTCCTGACTCCAAGGCCGGAACTCTATCCACTGCGCCACCTCGTTGCCCCCATCATTTACCTTTGCTCGAAATCGTCGAAGATCTGACTCACTCTGTATTTGTCTTCGTAATTTCCCCACTTGGAACTGTCTGCCTCTCTTAGGTGGCCCTTTAAGTGATAAAGAAATATGACCTAAACATTTTCTTTAAAAATGGAGGAAGTCAATTGGGGTGTATAAGGTTGCCTACTGTGACAAAGAATTGTAATAATACATAGATATGTACAATAAGCTGTTATAATCAGAAATGTCATTAGAATGCCAAACCATTTGATTCAAGGAAGGTGAAAAATGGATTAGTACATTGGACCCTAATCTTTTATGTACTCAGTTTATACTTGTTTACACAGTTCCTAATGTGTGAAGAACCTCGACCTCACTGTAGAAGTCAAAAGAGAAAAATAAAAAATGGGTGCTAGGCTTTCCATTAGTTTCTTGTCTGGTTATGGAGGAAAAACATACCTCTAGAAGTGTCTGAACACTTGTAAAATAACATTTATATCATTCTCTTATGCCAGTTTCCTATAGGCTGTTTTTCAAAGCCTTTACTCTTGCTTATTTGTTTATTCACCAGCATGCTATCCCATGGTGAAAGTATGGAATGGCAAACTATATTTTAAAAGGAATCCTCAAATCTAAATACAGTGGGATTGGGTTACCAGAATGATTTTTAATCTATGGCACATGGAAATGGGAAGAAAAGGTCTTAGTTTATACTTCCCTTGACAACTTTCCTTAAAAGAACTTAGAGCATACAAATCATCTCCCAAAGTGTAGGAAGGCAAGAAATGATGTCAATTAAATATTTCATTACATTATAGTGATTATTATTTTTTTTTTAATTTTTTTGGCTAGGCAATGGGGTTAAGTGACTTGCCCAGGATCACACAGCTAGTAAGTGTTATGTGTCTGAGACCAGATTTGAACTCAGGTCCTCCTGAATCCAGGGCCGGTGCTCTATCCACTGTGCCACCTATCTGCCCCCTATTATAGTGATTATTTATAATACAGTATAGTTATAGCTTACATATAGTATATGATATGCTTAAGATCTATTGTGATCTCATATAACATCAAAGTGTACTTTTGTATATATTTTATATGACTCAGATCATAATTGTATTATTTTAAATGATTACAAAGTCTTTGTCTATTGTTTGCTTTTACAATATCTATGATTATGTGTGTGTGTGTGTGTATGTGTGTGTATGTGTACTTGATGTCTGTCCTGAGGCAGAGAATGTAGTTCCTAAATCCGCTTTCAGTCAAGTTTCTAAAATTGGAATGCAAGTGTACATATAATTGAAGAATATGGTATAAAGGAGTGATAAGAATAAATTAATATAGGAAGGCTTCCTGAAGGCTAAGTTGAACCAATTTTTGAAAGTTAAAGGCAGAAATTAACTAAGGGGAGGAAGGAAGGCATTCTACACAAGGTAAAGAACATATTTTGTGTATAAATTCTAGAACAAACAAGCAGGATTTGCTGATGAAACTGGTACGCTACTTTCAAAAGAAACAGGAGTGGAACTAGAAGATATGCTGAAGAAATTAAATGTGAAGAGGACAGAAGAACCATTTCAAATTTGATAAAGAATGTAGGAGATTGGACAATACTGTTATTCCAGAACTTATCTGGCAAGACTGATTACCTGGGTGAGACTTCTTTAGCTGTTCGTCACTGTGCTGAAAAGATACATTGTCCTCTCTGATCTCTTTGTCATCTTTAGTCTTTGAACTCAGGGCATTTTTTAACATCTAATAAGAGAATTCTTTTTTAGTATCTTTAATTCATCACATCAGAATTGAAAAAAGCTTGAATAAACTGCAGTAAATCTTTATAAAAGTTTTAGTAAATGATGTGGATGTTTAGGAAATCAAAAAAAAGTATAAAATATTCACAGGTTCAATCAACTACCATTTACTATGTGCTTACTATTTGCCATGGCAAGTGCTAAGGATACAAAGATAAAAGTGAAAATCTTTGCACCTCAAGGACCCTAACATTTTAATGGGGGAAGACAAGATGCATTTCCATCAATATATATAAAACACAGATACAAGGTTGGGATGTGGAAGGCACTAAGCAGCCAGAGAGACCAGGAAAGGCTTTATGTAGAAGATGGTACTTAACTGAGTCATGAAAGCAAACAAGGCTTCCGAAAGGAAGCAATGAGGAGGCACAGGTAGAGCTGAGCGAAGGCACAGAAACAGTAGAATGCATGTCATGTACATGAAAAACACAAGAAAACTAATTTGGCTGCAGAGCACAGAGAGCAAAGTACTATGTACCTGAGGCTAGAAAGGTAGGATTGGGCTAAGATTTGAAGAGCTTTAAATGCCAAATGGAAGTTTATATTTCATCTTAGAGGTAACAGGGAGCCATTGGAGTTCCTCATATAGGCTATGTGGTGATGGGTTGGAGAAGGCAACAGGGTTAGATTCATGCTTTAGGAAAATCCCTTTGGTGATTGGCTATAAGAAGTTAATAACAATAAATTATTAAGGTTGACACCAAGGCTGTGAACATGGGTGACTGAAAGTTTGTGGGGGTGCCCTTGACAAAAACAAGGAAGATTATGAAAGAATGGTGAATTCTCGGGGAAGTTCTGTTTTGGACAGGTTTTATTTAAGATGCCTTTGGGATCTCCATTTTGAAACATACAATATATAGTTAATGATGCAAAACTGGAGATCATGAAAGAAACCAGGATTAGATACACAGATAAGGAGTCAATGGCATAGAAATAAATAAAACCATGAAGACTCGTCAGGTCACCAAATGAGACGAGGACAGAGAAAAAAAATAGAAAGGGCCTAGGGTCAGAGGTTTGGCATATACTCACAGTTAGGGGGTGTGACATGGATGATGATTCAGTAAAGCAGACTGAGAAATAACTGGCCAAACAGGCTTATGTATACTTAATTTTAAAATTGCCTTAAACCAAGGCAATTGGTAAAGGAATTTAACATCTTTTGAAATCAGACTAACAACAGACTATCCTATTGTACAAATGTATGAATTAGTATTCTGTGTTATTCTAGAACACTGTTTAGGTTTGAAGGGAACTGAGAAGGGGGCTAATTGAGGATACTGTAGTTTTGGTTTAACTGTTTATTGCTTGTCATTTATTATCTGCATAGAGAATATTTTTTAAAAAGTTTAATCTATACCAACATTTACCATGCCATATGAGAGAACAGATGAAGTAATTTTTAGGTGCGTCATATTCTTTGTAACAGTTTAGCTAATAAAGACCACTTTCATCATTGATAATTAGAACAAAATTTGTTTCTTATAAAGTCTCAGTTCCTAAGCCTAAGCCTAATTTGTAACCAAACTGAAATGCTCATTTAAATGGCAGTCTGTCTATTGAAAGTAAAAAAGACTTACTAAATCTAATTCATCCAATCGGTGAGAGAGTTTCTCTGACATTGAGCACAGTTCTTCCTCAGTCAACCTACGACTTGGTCCCTGGTGCAGAGGTAGCTCATCAGTGAGTAGATCACAGCTTTCTGATCTGCTATAAAATATAATCAAAATAGTTAAGTGACATCACTTAAGTAAAACACCTACAGCACCTCAACAGGCAATTGTTTTAGAAAATCACATATTGCTTTTCAAGACTTAATTTGGTTAATAGTAACAGGCCCTCCATTAACAAATGTACAAACGCAATAAAGAAACTTTCAGAAAATGCATTACCTTATTCGTTTGAGAAGTCTTTGTATCCTAGGGATGTATAAGTGAGACTCAGACACTGACAGCTTAGTTTCTTCAGACAAGTGAGATGTTGAGGAAAGCTTATCAATGCTATTGAGGCACTAACAGAAGCAGAAATGGTTAATTTGAAAAACTGCAGATACGCAGATACTATTCTTAAGAACTTCAAGGTGTTGCCTTTTGTAGTGGTTATTACCTTTAGTGAGAGGTAAAGAATCACACATAGCAAAAGAAGTCTCTTCACACTCTAATACTTTGAGGCTTTTTTAAAAAAGTATTTTTAGCAAAATGTATAGAAATTAACTACTTTTCCAAACATTCAACTACCTTCATGCTGTAGCTCTGATCCTGTGTACTTGTCGTTTCAGGTGTCACTGTATCTCCAACTAGATGACAAAATGACAAATTTTGTGTAAGATTCCTGATGCCCAACAGTGATTCAATAGGGCTTATATTTACAGGTCTCTAATAACTAAAAGGCAAATTAATTAAAGATTAACAGGCAAACATGTTGATTAGAATTGCATTTCCACCCCCCTTGGCATCAGACAGTATAACAGCTATAAACTTCACATCTCCATGTTATAACTGCTTAGGAAAGGTAACCAAATGAAATAAGGAAAAAAGATTTTTTGAAGCTGCAAAAAGTTTTACAAAATGCTGTAACATACCTGTATGGCCTTGTCCATGAGGCTTCCTCTTTCTTTCTCTCTATACTCTTGATTTGCAATCTTAATTGTTTCCATGGTTTCAATTATCACTTTTATATAGATGACTCTCAAATCTTTATCTTTAGCACTCAATTATTCCATAAACTGTACTCCCAAATTTCCAGGTGCTTATCTCCATTCTGCATGTCCTGCCAGCAACTTAAACTCAGTATGTCCTAAACTAAATTCATCTTCTCCTAAAGTTTGTCTCACTTTTCCCACATCTCTACATCTATTAATGGCATTACCACCCTCCCAGTACCAATACTCACAACCTCAGTCTCATCTTTGATGACTACTTCCTTCTTCCATATTCCAGTTAGTGGCTAATTCCTATCTTTATAATCTCTCAAATCTGTTCAAGACCTCTGTTGTTTCCTAGCTAATCTCCCTTTCTCTGGTCTCTCTGTTCTCTAACCCATCACACCACATAGCTGCCAAAGTCATTATGCTAATGTATATTTCTGAACTACTTACCACTGGGATCTGTTAGTGGCTTCCCACTGCCTGTAGGAAAATATGCAAAAATCTAGCTTTGTAACATGAGGCCCTCCACAACAATCTAGTTCCAACCTACCCATCCAGGCTTATTATATTCCATTCTATTTCAAACATTCTCTATTCTAGCTAAAATGGATCACTAGTTATTTCCTAATCTTTGTTCTGCTACCTTCTCCCTCCATGGTTTGGTGTAGGGCACCTTTCCTCCGTGCCTAGGAACTACTTCTTCCACATCTTAAGTGAAATCCTCTTTTCCTTCAAGGTTTACCTCAGTACCATGTCTTCCAATGAAGCCTTCCATTAATCCCTTTGTGAAAGTGATTTTTCTTCTGAAATGTTCTTAAAGCCTTGTACAGATCATTCCTATCACATTCCACTTTGTATAATACTTATTTGTGAACATGTCTTATCCTTTATTAGACTGTAAGCAAAGAACAGTGTATATTGGTTTTTCTACCTACATAAATCTGGTTCCAAAGAGTGATTTACTCTACAAACTTTTCTTTTTGTTTTTTTTTTTTGGTTTGTTTGTTTTTTAGGCAATTGGGATTTTGGTCTGAGGCCAGACTTGAATTCAGATCCTCCTGACTTCAGGGCTGGTGCTCTATCCACTGCGCCACCTAACTGCCCCCTACAAACTTTTCTTGAAACGAATGGGGCAAAGCCAAAAATATCAGTTTTTTCATAATCAATTTCTAATGGAAAAGGAATTTTGAGAGCTCTAGTTCTTACCAGATGTGAAGAAGGACTCTGCACCATGAATCCTTTCTGAAAATGAATCAAATGACCCTGTAAACTGAAGGCCAAAAAGAAATTAAGGCTAAGGTCAACATTTCAAATTCAAGAATAAAGTATTTTCTTTTTTTAAAAATTAATTTATTTTTAGTTTTCAACATCCACTTCCACAAGATTTTGAGTTCCTAATTTTCTCCCCATCTTGTCCCTCCCCCCACCCCAAGATGGCATGCATTCTGAATATCCTTTCCCCTAGTCTGCCCTCCCTTTTATTTCTCCTCCCCTTCTCTTATCCCCTTCCCCTTCAATTTTCCTGTAGGGCAGGATAGATTTCTATACCTCATTGCCTGTATATCTTATTTCCCAGCGGCATGTGAAAACAATTTTTAATGTTTGGTTTTTAAAACTTTGGGTTCCAAATTTTCTCCCTTCCTCCCTCCCCACCCATCCTCATTGAGAAGACAAGCAACTTGATACAGGTTACACATGTGTAGTCATGCAAAACACTTCCATAGTAGTCATGTTATGAAAAACTAAGTATATTTCCCTTAATCTTACCCCACCCCCCATTTATTCTATTCTCTCTTTTGACCCTGTCCTTCCTTCGAAGTGTTTGCTTCTGATTACTCCCTCCCCCAATCTGCCCCCTCCCCTCTATCATCCCCTACTCTCTTGTCCCCTTCCCCCCCCATTTTCCAGATAAGATAGATTTCCATACCCAATTGTGTATGTATTCCCTCCTTAAGCCAAATCCGATGAGAATAAGATTCACTCATTCCCTCTCGCCTTCCCCCATTTCCCTTCCACTGTAAAAGCTTTTTCTTGTCTGTTTCATGTGAGATAATTTACCCCATTCTACTTCTCCCCTTCTCCTTCTCCCAGGGTAATCCTCTCTCACCTCTTAATTTTATTCTCCAGATATCACCCCTTCATCTTCAACTCACCCTGTGCCCTCTATTTATCTATCTATCTATCTATATACAAAAATATAATTTTTTCCCTCCAACTACCCTAATACTGACAAAGGTCTCATGAGTTACAAATATCATCTTTCCATGCAGGAATATAAACAGTTCAACCTTAATAAGTCCCTTATGTAAATGTATTTTCTAATTCATATGTTCATCTTGCTATTTTTTTTCTATTCGTAAAGAAAATAGCAAGTGAAAGTTCAAATCTCAATAGACCACCTCACATATTCACATACTTTTTAGTCAATTTAAAATAAAAAGGAGCTTTTACACTTACCACAGGCCTTTCATGCTTTCCATCATCATTTAAGGCTGAGGGATACTGATGTGAATGATAGTATTCTTTTCCCATAGGGCAGGGTGCTCGAGGCTCAAGAGGATGGTATGGTGGCTGTAAAGGAATAGCTGAACGAATGGGCTCACCCAATTTTTTAGCATTTGGAGTCAGACTCTTGGAAGAAATTTCTGTAGACTCAACAGATGCAGCTAATTATGAAGGAAAATATTGAGAAATGGTTCATATATAGCAACCACCTGAATAAAGCATTAGTAATCTATTTTAAAACTGATGAAGGAACAGTACACATGTACAAAAGAATATATATTCTACATAAAATTTTTTTTTCATTACAAGAATGTATAAAGTGATTTCAACACAACTAATATATGTGACATGTCAACACAATACAAGGCACTGATTACTTAGTGAGTAGGAATATTTTCAAGTAATTGTACTTAAATTTAATAACCACTTGAAAACCACTATTTGAAACAACATCAAATTAGAAGATAAAAATGATGACTTAGGCAAGAAGCTTGCCTTAAAGTTAGAGGATAGTTCTATACAATGTATGATTCCATACCATGCAGTGTATAGAAGGGAGGTATGAAGCCGAAATTAGAACTAAAATTAACAGCAAGTACTTACAAGAAGTACTGAATATGTGAAACCAAGAGAAAACACTAGGTTAGGCTCTTAGAAAAGCTCTATACGGCTTTTCAAAAACGTGAACCTGAGGAGTTAGGAAGTTATCACAGTTTGAACTTAAGGGCTTAATATGTCTACTTACTATTATCTGCCATGTAATTAGAATAACATGAGGTAGAGTTCACAAAACCTTCCTCAGACTTGATTCCTTGGAAAGTTGAATCTTTTTCATTCTGTGATTCTTCAACTCCTAGAATAATTAATTACAAATAAATAAAACTAATTCTTAAAAGATTCTGGCAACATCAAACTAGAAACCAAGAGCTTCTTTTTATATAAGACAGAGAAAGAGCACTAAAGGAAACACATTTTCAGGAGGTTGTCTGTCAGCTTGGTTTATATAGCAAAGTAAATTTGAAAGGCTGGCTTTACCACCTACCAGATCATCAGGCAGTATAACAGTTCAGAAAGCTAGGAATAACACAAATGCCATATCTAAACAGATAGTCATAAACAAAGAAAACTAATGAACCAAATGATTTTCATATCTCATCAAACTTCATTAAAGCTTGTTTTTTAATAAAATATTATGGGCTTGTAGAAATTGTTACTACTGTGTATATTCCTGGCCCTGGCCACAATCGTATTGTTAATTTTCAATAGTTACTGAAGTCTAAAAATATGCTTCCTGTCAAAATTATACTTCTATGAATCTGGATAATAAAGTTAACTGAGTTTTCAAACAGACATCAAGACATGAGCTACTATAAGGTTATCTATTACACTGAATCATAACAAGTCAGCCTGTAGGACTCTCTTCCTTTTCTATATCTGTATCTTATCACTTTCTATACCTACACATCTTATCACTTACCATCAGACTTTTCATTTTCACTGCTGCTCTCCAAATGAAATGTATTTATGATCATGCTTCTGTATATAACAACTCATGTAAAAATCTTACTCTAAAATCCCACCTTTAAAAAAAAACCCTGGGGCAGCCAGATGCTGCAGTGGATACAGCACCAGCTCTGGAGTCAGGAAGACTTGAGTTCAAATCCAGCCTCGGACATGTGATGCTTATTAGTTGTGTGACCCTGGCAAGTCACTTAACCCCACTGCCTAGCCAAAAACAAACAAACAAACAAACAAACAAACAAACAAAAACCCCTTGATGTAACTAAGCATTATAGGAGCACCAACTATGCAAAAAGTAAGAAACTTGGGGCAGCTAGGTGGCACAGTAGATAGAGCACCGGCCCTGAAGTCAGGAAGACCTGAGTTCTAATCCGGCCTCAGACCAAACACTTGACACTAGCTGTGTGACCCTGGGTAAGTCACTTAACCCCAATTGCCTAAAACAAAACAAAACAAAACCAAACCCTTTCTAGAGATCACACATCCTTTGGAGCTATTTATGCATTTTTATGAACTGTAATTGCTTTGTTAGGGTTAAATAATTTCCAGGCATGTGTGTATTTGCACTGTTTCCTCAATACAAAAGTAATTTTTTATTTTCAGTGATTTAGAATCATGGAAATTTATACCTGGAAGGGGTAATATTAGACACTAACACCCAACATTTTAACCCATAGTTTCTCATCTCTAATTTACTCTAGGTCTCTAAGGAAGGGAAGGGGAAACATAGAGGCTAATCTAGATGTCACTGTATCAGCTGAGACGCATTATGATAGAGTACAAAGGACCAAGTTGAAGCTCTGCCCTGTTACTTATTGCCCATGTGACTTTGACAAGTCCAAATAAGGGGACTGGACCAGATGACCTCGAAGCTCCTTCCAGCGCATGGAGTCTATGATCTTATGACATTAGAACTCCCTCCTTATTTTCCTAAATAGAAGTTTAGGGAAGGTGAGGGTGAGGTGCCTAGCCTGAAGTCATCCAGCTAGTCAGTGTCAGAGTTGGGACTAGAACCCAATGTTCTTTTCAAATTACAGTGCTGATTTTCTGTTGTCTGTCCCTATAGCTTTTTTTCTTTTTGGGTGAGGCAATAGGGGTTAAGTGCCTTGCCCAGGGTCACACCTAAGTAAGTGTCAAGTGTCTGAGGCTGGATTTGACAGGTTCTCCTGACTCCAAAGCTGGAGCTCTATCCCCTGCGCCACTATAGCTTTTACTTTATGGTATATAAGAGTATGGATAATCAATAAATGTGGCTGGCTATGTCACTTTTTTTTTCTCCCAAATGAAAAAGTTCAGTAAGTATACCAGAATCTTCCATGTAAGATTTCATTTATTTCAGCAGGTAACATTTAAATTTGCTGGTTTACTAGTGACTGTATTAATCCTGCTTCCTTACTCAGTGAACAATCTATTAATGCTGCTTCTCTCATAGAAATACATTATCAGATAGAATATAGAAATTTCAACCATAATGAATTACCTATTTGTATTTCAACATCCTTCTAAGATATATGATGTCATCAGTGTGAACACACTAATATCTAATGAAGTTCCTAATCCTTTTATACCTTAACAGATAGTCTTTATGGGCTACTGTGGCTAAAGCAATTCATTACTTAATGGTCAATCGCCCGTTGATGATTTTCTATGAACTTAGATAGGTGAATCCTCAAGAAGACAGATATATGGTCTGCAGTTAGACCACAACCCAAACCCTTTCCACCTTTTTAGAAGCTGCCAGAACTTGTACTCCACTGACAACTTTTAATATCCTAGAGTTTACTCCATGTAGTGATGTGGCAACAGAATAGGATTTTATATCTTAATATAGCTAATTTCAAAGCTATATTATCTAACCTGATTCCTCAAAAATTCAGTTGAGGTAAAGGTACTTTAGAAGAGGAAACTGAGGCTCAGAGAAGTAAAGTCAATTGCCTGTGATCACACAGTTGGCAAATCAATCCAGGTCTTCAATACTCCATCCACTATGCCATGTTAATTCTTAAATAGAGAGCATTCTTTGAAATCTTTCTATCCTAGGAGATTAAATATTTAACTCTACCCTGTACTTTTCTTCAACTATGTAAAGCTTAGGGTCTCAAGTAAAATCACTATATATGTATTTATTTTGGATAGTATGTATACATGCTAACTTCTTCTATAGAACATATATTCCTAAAGGGCAGGGATTACTTCATTTTTTGTTCTTGCAGCTCCAGAGCCTAGCACAATGGCTGACCCACAGTAGACACTTAAATACTTGCTGACTGACTGAACATGTTCATTTTAGGAAATTCTGTGTAGAAAGTGTGTCTGGAAGTTGATCTATTTAAAACCATTTTGGGAGATGGGAAATGATATGCCATTCAGATTATTAAGAATAAAAATAACTAATTTAAATAGTGCTTTATGGTTACATAGTACTTTATATAAATTCTTTGATCCTAGTGACTTGCCTAAGATCACAAAGAAATGCTAGAACCTCAGATTCAGGTTTCCTAGGTCTATTTCTCTTTCCACTACCTCACATTTCACTTCTTAATCTGTCTTAAAGGTACTAAATTACTTTAGTTAACAATTTTGTTTATGATTAATGAAAAACAGTCAACTGTAATTTCATTCCTATAAATAAGTCAATTAGTCTTTAAATTTAAATCACAAAGTATTTCTCACTACTTTATAACTAGGCTGTAGTTTTACAATGTAATTATTATTTAAAGTTTCAATTACGTACCATCTTTCCTTAAAGAAAATGTGTGAGCTGTATCTCCAAGTCTAATCAATTCACCAGTGGACTCTGATCCATCTATGTCCCAAGATGGAACAAAAAGCTCAGAAGATTGGGAAGACCTGAAAAAGTTTCTTAGTCACATTTAGTAAATGCCTGTCAAAACCACAAGAGGTTTTCCAAGTTAGGATTCCTATATCATTTAGCTTCATAAAGTATGACAATAATAGGATTAGTGGCCCCAAATCTTTGCCATTTTGCACTTCACTCTTCTGCTCATTCTGGTCTGTTTAATAAAGAGACTTCTTTGTCACCTTTACTCTCTGGTGCAACAGTTTCCAACAATTTTCAAATAAAGGCAACAGCACTTTACAGTCATAGCCTTTAAGTTATGGTTCCCCAAAACATCTATGTCAAAAAATCAGAACTCCCTGTATTTAAAGCATGAGAAGCTGTGAGGTATTTGAGAACTAGAAGATATCATAAAATCAGTATTTAAGAAAACTGACACATAAGTCAGGGTTCAAAAACCTCCCTTGGAAAGATTTAAAATTACTTATAAAAGATTTTACAAAATTTTGAAGCATGGTAAACAAACGTATCCAGTTTAAGTTAATTACTGTCATTCTGGCATATTATGTTAAACAACTGTACCAAGTATAAGGAAAAGTGAAACTTGCTTTATTAAGTCAACAAAGAAAAAGCCTACCTCCCAAATGATGTCATTGCTTGTACTGGTCTGGTCTCTCTAATCTTTTCCTCCAATTCTTCTGAAAGTATGCCTTGAATTGATTCTTTAGTTACTTGGTCAGTTTCAACTATTTAAACATTAAAAAAAAACCCTAAATGAATATCATCAGATTTGTTACACTATAGAAAGATAAATATAAATTATGAGAGTATTTATCATACCACCTATACACATTCCCTCCAAAGATGTACATAACAATTTCTCCCATGGCTTAATACATAGTTTAATGAATTGTTATGGCCAGAAAACAAAATGTTCTGTGTCTAACCCTCTGATGAGACTCCCTCCAAATCTGTTAGACTTGTTCCTAGATAATAAATATCAGACACATATATCCATTTCTTTGACTAGCTCTGAAGCATTTCCAGGCTTGGCAGGGCCTGCCAATGCTGGTACTACTCTGGCACCTGTCACAAAAAGGCACTGGCATAGGATGGGGACAATACAAGTCAGGTAACAAAATGGAAGACTGAAGCTTCTGTTGTTCTACCTCTTTAAGTTAACTCTCAGGCTTTCCTTTAGGGATACTGTTTCTATTTTATTTCATATTTAACCTGATGCCAATCAATAAAGGACATCTTACCAAATGTGGAAGAAAAGTAAAACGGCTTTTTTATAATTTGGTACTGTAGAATGTTACAAAAATTGAGGGAAAAGAACCTAAGTGACTCTTTCCCTCTTTAAGTTTTTAGTTCAAAAAGTTTCACATGAAATGTTAAAACTCCAATTTATACTCTTGTGAGATATGCAAATTGGGAATTATGTTCAATCAATATAATCAGACTTTATTTTAGCCAAGGCCTGCTATGAATTATTAAACTTAATTAAGTTACCTTTTATTAGTAAGTTGTTAGAGTTTAACTTCCCCACTCTTATAAGCCCAACTCCCTTGTTTTATAAGACTTCTCCTTTTCTGTGTAAGTTAAAGTTCCCCTTTTTGTGAGTTAATTCCTCATTTAGATTGATGAAAATTTACAAAACACTCCATGACGCTTTCATAGTATATCAGACCTCTAGGAAGTGAATCAGAATAGAACAAACCCCCATAAATCATCAGTATGTCTACATACTACCAACAAAGTCTATCAGGAAGAGATAGAAAAATTCCACAACATATAAAATGCTTAGGAGTGTACTTGTCAAGATACACAGAACTGTATGGATATAATTACAAAACACTTTTTTACAGAAATAAGAGATCCAAATAATTGGAGAAATACTAATTGTTTATGAGTAGGCTAAGCTAGAGCATTAAGTGGCATAGTATATAGAATGCTGGGTCTAAAGGCAGGAAGAATCACCCCTGAGTTCAAATCTGCCTTGAGACACTTACTACTTTGTGACCCTAGGCAAGTCACTTAACCCGGTTTATCTCAGTTCCTTATCTGTAAACCACTTCAGTATCTTTGCCAAGAAAATCTCTCAAATGTCCAGCAAAGAATTGGATTAGAACTGGGTTTGCTTATCTTTATGTAGACAACTCACCTGTGTGTCTGTCTCTGTCTCTCTGTCTCCATTTCTCTCTCTCTCTGTCTCTCTCTCTCTCTCTCTCTCTCTCTCTCTCTCCCTACATATATGTGTGTGTGAATTTATGTATGTATGTATCCAACCTCCAGTCTCTCCCCTGAGAATCAGATACACCAAACACATGTAAAATTAACATGTTCAAAATAGAACTCATTATCTCCACCCCCCACTCCCCCAAATCCTCTTCTAAGTTTCCCACCTAAAGAACTACCATTCTTCCAGTCTCCTGGTTTGTAAGATTGTCCTTTTCTTCTATTCCTCATTCTTCCTTACCCACATGTCCAGTCAGTTGCCAGATCTTTTCCTTTTTAACTCCACAACATCTTTCACATCTCTCCTTTTGTACAACCTTATTTCAGACCCTCACCACCACCCTTTACCTGGAAATTGCAGCAGCTTTCTGTTTGGCCTCTCTGCCTCAAGTTCCCCACTCCATCCCCCACAGGGCTGCCAGATTAATTTCCCTTAAGTGCAGATCTGACTGTGTCATTCCCCTGTTAAGAAAACTCTAGTGGCTCCAAATTGCCTCTAGGAAATAATGATGATTAGTTTTTAAAGCCTATATAACTTATCCCCAACTTATCTCTTCAAACTTATGTATGTTATTTCCCTTTCTGCACTGCAACCCCATCAAACTGGTTTTTTTCTCTAGTCTTCATATATGACACTCTTACGTCTCTGTGTCTTTGTATTAGCTGCCCCCATGCCTGGAATACATTCCCTGCCCACCTCTGCTTCATAGAATCCTTCTCCTCCTTCAAGACATAGCTCAAGTACATTCTACAGGAAGTCTTTTCTGATTTTTACTCCCTCCCCCCCCACCTGCAGTAGCTTGTGCTTTCCCTCCTAAACTGCCTTACATTTAATTCTTTTTCATTGGATCTGTTTTTAATGTTTAGTTTACACTTAGATTATTAACATATTGATTTTCCTGTTAGAATGTAAACTTCTTCAGAATAGGTATTGTTTCATTTGTATTTATCTCCAATGCCTAGCTATAATGCCTGGAACATAGCAGGTGCTTTAAAAATGCATGTTGTTTGATTGACTCAGCATAGTGTGAAAGCTCAGTCATTTTGCATATACAAGTCCCAGTGGTGAACATGAGGTCCTGTGCCAGTGCCTCTTGGAGGCTTCCCGCGGGTTCTTCAGGTTATGTTAGAGATTGCTCAAAACCTCTTGCCTCAGCTGTGGAGTCCTTATGGTTCAGGTTCATTACACAGATTCATGAATACCATGGTTATCCAATATGTGTTTGTCTTGCCTCTACTCTGTCTATGCTACTGTCCTTAAATCCACTTGCTCCTTGCCTCCTTAAACCACTTAGAACAAAATCCTTACTAATTGGAGTCTTCATCAATTGACATAACCATGCTACAAGCTCATGCACAGTTCTCTGGGAAACATCTAGAGGATCTCTCTCAGTGAGCATGCCTCATCAGTCACAAGTGTTATGGGAATTGAAGCCTACTATGCTAGTGTCACAATAAAAGATAAAGAGAACCTGAGACAAAAAAGTTCTGGAGTATCAGTTTATTAGCAAAGTTAGTGGTTGCCAGTAAATAGGATCAGTGGCTCCTTAATAGCCAAAGACATTCATGAAAGAATACAAAGCATTCTTATGGTCTAAAAAGAGAAGCGAATCTAAATATATATTCATGAGATTAATACACATTGATAACATGCATATTTGTGGAGTTTTATAGGAAGTAGGTTGATTTATACAATTAGGACTGTAAGAGTTGCCAATTCCATGTGACTTTAATTAAATCAAAGATTAGCTTTCTTATTGACTCCAGTGAGTGATCTGGCAGCCCTGTGGGGGATGGAGTGGGGAACTTGAGGCAGAGAGGCCAAACAGAAAGCTGCTGCAATTTCCAGGTAAAGGGTGGTGGTGAGGGTCTGAAATAAGGTTGTACAAAAGGAGAGATGTGAAAGATGTTGTGGAGTTAAAAAGGAAAAGATCTGGCAACTGACTGGACATGTGGGTAAGGAAGAATGAGGAATAGAAGAAAAGGACAATCTTACAAACCAGGAGACTGGAAGAATGGTAGTTCTTTAGGTGGGAAACTTAGAAGAGGATTTGGGGGAGTGGGGGGTGGAGATAATGAGTTCTATTTTGAACATGTTAATTTTACATGTGTTTGGTGTATCTGATTCTCAGGGGAGAGACTGGAGGTTGGATACATACATACATAAATTCACACACACATATATGTAGGGAGAGAGAGAGAGAGAGAGAGAGAGAGAGAGAGAGAGAGAGAGAGAGAGAGAGAGACAGAGAGAGAGAGAAATGGAGACAGAGAGACAGAGACAGACACACAGGTGAGTTGTCTACATAAAGATAAGCAAACCCAGTTCTAATCCAATTCTTTGCTGGACATTTGAGAGATTTTCTTGGCAAAGATACTGAAGTGGTTTACAGATAAGGAACTGAGATAAACCGGGTTAAGTGACTTGCCTAGGGTCACAAAGTAGTAAGTGTCTCAAGGCAGATTTGAACTCAGGGGTGATTCTTCCTGCCTTTAGACCCAGCATTCTATATACTATGCCACTTAATGCTCTAGCTTAGCCTACTCATAAACAATTAGTATTTCTCCAATTATTTGGATCTCTTATTTCTGTAAAAAAGTGTTTTGTAATTATATCCATACAGTTCTGTGTATCTTGACAAGTACACTCCTAAGCATTTTATATGTTGTGGAATTTTTCTATCTCTTCCTGATAGACTTTGTTGGTAGTATGTAGACATACTGATGATTTATGGGGGTTTGTTCTATTCTGATTCACTTCCTAGAGGTCTGACCACTGTTGAAACCTGGCTTGGTAAATGTGTTTGAAGCAGGAAGTCCATTTTGGGCATCACCTTGAATTAGAGTATTGCACCAATGTTTGCTACTGACAGAAAAGGCAATGCAGAACCACAGGAAATTCACTCAAAACAAATTTTCTAGAACAACTTTAAGCTGAAATACTAAGGGATCCTGAGCAACAAATAATTGAAACTGTCGAACTACTGAAACTGTTATGTATTTTAGTTATATATGTTAGTTTTGAGAAGTAATTTAAGAAACTTTATAAGGTAACAGTATTCAAATGTCAAATATAAGGATAGGCTAGAGGTGTTCCAACCAAGTATTCAGGACAAGTTCAAAGTAGTACCATCTAATTAGAAAATCACAGACAGAACATTATGGCAGTTACATTAATCACTCTAAATCTCTTATTTTACAGTCATAGCAGACATTCAATTCAAAATAAAACCAAACTTTCAATTTAAAAACTCACCTTTTTCCTGAGAGGATGCTTCACTATATTCTGTAAGGTACTCCAGCAATCCATCAAATATTTCTAAGAGATTTTTAATAGACTCCTTATTTCCTCTTACAATATTTTCTCCTAAATAAAAAATAGAATATTTTAAAATATCTTGAGTAATGTAAAATACATACATTCTTGAAATGGACACACTTGCATCAAAAGACTCAAGGATAGGGGATCCTAAACTAGTCTAGTAGAAACCTGGGTACTGGAATGTTTTTATGTAGGGGGAAAAAAAACCAACACAACCTTTAAATGCTCTATCATGAAATCATTTAGCTCCTTAAGAACAGGGATGGTTTTCTGCCTTTCTCTGTATTCCCAGTGCTTATCAGCAACCGGCAAATAGTAAGTGCTATATAAATGCTTGCTGATTGACAATATTAGCATTATCTCTTAAAAATTGTTTTTAATCAACTTTATATCTCAATATACTACTCCCACTTCCCCCTCAGAGAGTTATCCCTTGTAACAAAGAATAAAGAGGAAAAAAAAAACCAGTTCAGTAAAGCTAGCATATCAACCAATTCTGACATTATAATACAGTGTTTCATACCCTCAATCCCCTGCCTTAGCAAAAAAAAGGGAAGTGCATTCATATTTCTTCTTTGGTCCAAGCATGGTCATTATAATTTCTCAGAATTCATTTTCAAATTATTTTGCTGGTTTTTTTTTTCATTTACACAGTTGTAATCACTATGTATATAGCTTTTCTGATTCTGCTTACTTCATTTGGCATTAGTTCATAAGTTTTCTCATGCTTTGGTTTTCATACTCATCCTTTTTCTATTACATTTATGTACATTTGTTTAGCCACCATTCCTTTTATATTTAAGAAAACAGGCTGTAATGGCACATCCTCTAGTCATATTTTTAATAAGAAAAAAAAGCATTTAAGCGAGTTTTTATTAGAGGAAGACAAACTACTTGAATTTATAGGTCCCTACCTGCACGCAGATGCTACTTTGTTCAGGAGAAATTTGTTGGGCTAGAGCCTGGCGTAGTTGATCGACTGTTGCACTTGGAATAAAGAAGACCTGGGTTCAAGTCCCGCTTCTGACACTTACTAACTGTGTGACAATGGAAAAAATCGCTTAACCTCTCTGAACTTAGATTCCTCATCTGTAAAATGGGGATAACAATACCTGTAGTACCTATCTTACAGGGATGTGGTATGGATCACATGAATTAATGTATGTAAAACACTAGGTCAATATTTACCATACAAATATTATTTGGATATGAAAGATAAGATTTCATATGCTTACTTCTTCTTCGTGCATGTTTAATAGTCCATACTTTTTGCTAATTAGATGGGCAGAAACATGCAAGGAAACTGAAGGAGGTGGACTCTTTTAAGAGCTATCGAAATTAGTTCTCACAGACTCTTTAACAGTTTTGCCAATGCGGTTCACAAAACGAACTTAAGAGCCTATGAAAAATATATCCTCTATCTGTAAAGACCCTTTTCACTTTCTTATCTTAGTACTGGCAGTAGTACAAAACAACATGAAGAGAAGCAATGGTGAAAGTTTTGGTTTTGAGAGAATTCATTTATGTACTCATAATTAAAATGAATAATAAAGCTCTATCTAGTACCAATCATATGGGGTCATAGAGAAGACTTTTTGCTTTAAAGAACATCAGATAATGGTTATTATATACACATCTGGACAAAAAGTTGATGCTTAGAAAAACTCGTAGGACCAAAGTTTTAAAAAATGAGTAGTAAAAAAGCTGAACGCTCAATAAAAAAGATATCATATGTTTTTCATTTCCTATCTGGGTACACAATTATAAATATCTATAGGGAGTCTCTATAGGTTTCTAGGGTGTGGAGAACAGTTTAGCTACTCAGCATACCATACTGTGAACTGTAATTCCACACCAAATTGAGTTCCCTTCAACTTCTGGCCCCAATTTTCTCATCTGAAAGATGTAGATGTCAGTCCTAACAGTACGTAACAGAACTGTGACATTAAAACTATGTCATACTAACATATTCTACAGTTTGACCTCCCCTCTGGCATTCATGGTTCTCCATCTACCTTTCTAGGCTTATCTCATATAACTTCCCACTGTTGGAAAACCAGGAGGATTAGTCCTACTTTCTGCTCCTGGACACACTGTGAACTTTCCTATCTTCTTGGCTTGGTTCACACTATCTCCTAAGCCTAGAATTCCCTCTTTCCCTCTTCTCTAGATGAATTTCTATAACTGAATGCCACTTCTATAAGCGTTCCTACTTCCTTCCTCTAAACCATTACCCTTTGACTCTTATATAACCTTTGTTTTGCACTTTCTAAATGCATTTATATAGTAATACACATTACAGTTATCTGCCTTAGTGTCATATCTCCCTGCAAATCTGTAAGATCCAACTTCCGGAAGGAAGTGTCTTTTCAACTTACTCCTCTCTGATTCCTAACAAAGGGCAAAAAGCACCAGATGCTTAATATTTGAATACGAACAAAATGAAAGAAAATAAATGAACAAATTAATTTACTACTCCCATCCTCTCATTTTTATCAATAAGGAAACCAGCCCAGAGAAGTTAAGTGACTTAATGAGAAAACTGTGGCTGAAAGACAATTGCCTGAGACAGTGTATGGTAAAAATATTAACTATGAAGTCAGAAGATAAATAGGTTCAAATTCAACTCCGTCATGTTTTACTGTTTATGATCATTGGCAAATAGTCACTTCTGCTCTCTAAGTCTCAGTTTCTTCATCTGTATAATAATGGTCACAGTACTTAGATTATTATTACAGGGTTGTTGTGAGGATCAAATGAGAATGTATGTAAAACACTTTGCAACTACATGAATGTCATCTAAGCACCTATCTTACTGCCTGGCACAGAGCAGGAAATTTATAAATATTTGTTGACTCTACTTCTAGGCTATTAATTACAAGGAGGCATTTATTATATAGATCTTTTGACTATAAATCCACTGTTCTTTCCTCTTTAGCATTTAAGAAATTTTTATCTGCTAATTAAATGTCTAGGGCCTAAAGAAACAAAATAATTTCCTCAGGAAAAATATAATTATTTGAATTCAGTTTGAGATGGTTCATGTTACTAACCTGTTATGTGGGACAAGCTGACCTGCAAGTAATCCAAAGCCAGTGAATCAATAACTGCTTGTACATTGTGTGTATGATCTTCTTGGTTTTTAGGGACAGTTATGAGGTCTGTGAAGGAAGGGGGAATAACATTGTTTTATAACTACAAAATACCAAATTCTGAAAATGTTGACTAATCCAGGTTTGGGGTGACCAGGGAGCCTGGTCTAGGGGTGTGGCAGTAGAAATGGAGGAGAGGAAGAGGACCATAGAATCTTTAATCAATGATAACCCATTGTATACAGGCAGTAAATTATGTTAAAGATGACTGAGGAAACACTAGAAAAAACACACTGATACTGACATAAAGAACTTAAATTCTGAAAGACAATTAGACTTCAAAGGGGAAAAAAAATCCAGTTCCCTTAGTAAATACACTTTTTTTCTCCTAAACTCAAATCAAATTCAAACTTTTAAATGCTGATTGTATCTTATACAACCTCAGTGCCATTTTAAATGTATCTATTCAGCCGAGCTAAAATTAAGCAGAGTTATTAAATCCATGCAAAATTATTTAGAACATAATTGTTGTCCAACTCTTTGTGACCCCATGGACACAGCATGCCAGGCCCTTCTATCCTCCACTATCTCTTGAAGTCTGTTCATGATCATTGTTACAAGACATTATCTATCCATTTCATCTTCTACCCTACCCTTTTCCTTTTGCCTTCAATCTTTCTTAAAATCAGGGTCTTTTCCAAAGAGTCCTGTCTTCTTGTTATGTGAACGTCATAGGATCATACATGGCTTTAGAATTGGAAAAGCCCTGTTTGTTACCAGGGCATTACACCAAGTTCAAATAGGAGGTAGCACTCTCTTTTGTAGTTGCAAAAAGACTAAACTGCAGTGAAAACCCCAGGGAACAAAATATAGAAAAGAAACTGTCCTCATGTCTCAGTATTCTTACCTGGTACTTCTTCTCCCAAGATAGAATGATAAAGAGTAATAAACACATCTGCATCACACTCTGAAAGAGACTGTATCCTTAGGCAAATGTGACATTTCAAAAGAAGGTTGTTGGCAACTGCTACCCACTCTGGGAAAAAAAAAAGATGTAAAAAAATGTTATAGAACTAGGAAAAAGTAAATTCAAAAAAATCAGGCACTGTTTACTTAAGTAGATAAAGAATCAAACAAAAAGCTGTCTTTAAATTAAAAATATGGATAAGTATAGGGGAAACTCATACTCTAAATGTTATTCCGTAAATAACAGATCTGACTATAAATTCCTAAAAAACTTAGCCTTAGTTTTTATTAGTATTTAAAGTAAACCATAAATTTATCCACTTCTGTGATACTGCTTTTACTAACAGAATAGAAATAACAATAAAAAAGTAATCAGTATTACCTTTTTAAGATTGTGAATGGGAGCCCAAATGTTACTTCATTACAACTTTAAACTGTAGCTTATGATGTAAAAATAATGGAACACCAGGAACTTAAAAGATGATGAGATTGTGAATGTCAAAATAGTTTTCATCCTTCTAATAGGAACATAAGATACTATTCTACTAGTTTCTCCACAAACACCACCTTCTACATGAAGGTTCTTCCTGTTCCCAAGAAGCTGCTGGTGTCCTGGAGTCAAAAAATTACCTTGTATTTATTTTGTACATAGTTATGTACATGTTGTTTCTCTCCATAACCTACTTGAAGGGAGGGGTTATTTCATTCTTGTCCTTGTTCCCCCAGAGTTCAGCTTACAGGAGGTACTTAATGTTTATCTGATTCTGGCAAAATTTATAACTATCATAGGAAAACAATTCTCTATCATTCTTCTGCCATTAGAGACATAACAAGCAGTACTCACTTCCCACTGTCAAGCTTCCTAAAGCTACCACAATCTAAGGACATTATCAGCACAATGGACTGCTGAGCACAAAGTAGCTATAGCTGCACCTGGACAGCAACAACTCAACCGATGCACAAAGCTGGTCATTCTGAGGGACAGACATTGATTGCTTTTTCTTTTTGCTGAATTTTATCTAGTTTATCCTGTCTATATCTTCTTTGTACAGGGTTCTCTGCAAACGGTCTTTCCCATGAGATTGTTAGCTGCTTCAGGGCAGGGGCTGTGTTTGCCTTTCTTCGTAACCCCAGAGCTTTAGGGGGGTAGTTCCAGGCACATAGAAGGCTCTAAATAAATGCTTGCTGACTTAACCTGACAAACCTCAACACGACCATTTCACACCATAAACACATTAGGTAAAGCTTTACAAGAAAAAAGGATATATTAAGTTGGCAGCTCCAATACTGCCAAACTCAAGCTATAACGTGGATAACAAGAATTAAGAAAAGACAGACCAGGGATCTAACTTGATGGGGTTTTCACAACCAGCTTTCGGATTGGAAAATCTGTTTTGCTTAGGTTCCTTCAATTAAAAAGCACGTCCTGTATTCAGCACAAATCCACCTTCTCAAAAGAAACAAATGCGCTACTAACAGCCCAAGTGTGAGAACAGTAGTTGTGCTCAGATCTTTTCTGCAAGGCAAAAACCAAACCTGGAGAAAGGTTATGGGCTGGATATGCAACATCTCATCCCTCCTCGCCAGCCCTAAGGAGCCCGTCGAGTGCTCCCCAGACCTAGACCCCCCAGGTTCCCTCCCTCTCGGGCTGGCTAGTCGCTTCGTTAGGGAAAGGGGAAACGGAGACATCACAGAAAGCCATCCACGGAACACTCCGCCGAGGGAGCCTTGGGTCCCCCGGAACGACTTCTGGAGCTCTATGTGAGAGACGTGAGTTCGAAGCGCTTTAAGGATTGTAAAGCGCTTTATACATCTCTAGCCGCCCGGCAAGCGAGCGGCGGGGGAAGGGGAGGGGCGGCGGCCCGGCGCATTCTCAGCGTGCACATCCCACCCCCTCCGTGGGTGTCGGCTTCAGCCGGGAGACTCACCAGCCTCCTCCCGGGCCTCCATGTCCACGAGAGCTGTACAGCGGCGGAGCTCGCGGGGAACGATGTCCTGGAGGGACCGTTGAGGGAAAGGAGTGTGGCGGGGGAGGACGACGCAGGGCGCGGGGGGGGAGGGGAAGGCGAGAAGAAACCGTAAGGTAACTGGGGGAGGCGATGGAGGGACGTTAAAACGGCTTCTCGTCGCTGATTGGCCATCTGGCCGCACTTCCTGTCGCAGCACGCGGCCAGGCAGCGGTTTAGGGGCTACAACTCCAACTCCCCGCGGGATTGTTCCCGCTTCGGGCTTCTCAGGCCGGTCAGTCGGTTTGGCAGACCTGGTGGCCGACCTGGTATAACCAGTCAACCTGGGGAGCTAACCGGAAACGGCCGTAGAGCCCCACCTTTTTCGTGTCCGTCCGCCTGAGTGGGTAAATAGTGCGGTTGCCGGCCTTATGGGTTGGGGGGTTACGCTCACGTGATAGGAGCAGCCTCCGCCTCCTCTTCTGACAGCGTACTGTGGCCCTTAAGAGTCGGGGACATGTAGCCAGGGGTGCAGTGACGTTAATGCTTTACAGCCTGCCTAATCGTAGAAAAACAGAAGAGTGAGATTTATTATTCCTGATTTGGTGGAAAGTAAGGGCGTTCTCTGAAAGAAGGAGCGAAGCAAAGGGAAACGTCTGTGGGTGGGGCGCTAAGAGTTAATTACGAGCTAAGGTGGGGGAGGGGTGCTAGGATGGCAACCAGAGGCTAGAACATGGCGGCGCTCAGAACGCCCGCGGGTGTTGTTACCTTGGCGTCTTCCCCCTCCTCCTCCCCGAAGGGGGTGGGGCGATGAGGTCATAGAGCGGTTCCCATCGCGCTTTGCGGCGGAGGAGGCGGTCCAGGTATAAAACCGGCTGCCGGGAGCCCTCTGGCTCCTCATTCATTTCCACCGGCTTGGGTTCCTCTTGTTTTAGCTGCAGCCTCTGTCTCAGCCACCGCCCCCGCACGGCCTCGCCACCGCCGAAGCCGCCTTTCCCCCCTCCCCTGCGATTTCCCGCTTCTCCTCGGTTGTTTCCCACCAACCGCAACCATTGACGCCATGTCTGGATACTCGAGTGACAGAGACCGCGGCCGGGATCGAGGGTGAGTAGGGACGTTTGTCAGTCGCGGCTTGGAAGGGGTGGGGTGGGGGTGGGGTCCGGAGGAAGTGGTCAGGGGCTCTGTCGGCGACAGGAGGCCTTCGGCACCATCGGTCCGCGTCTTGGGGCCCTTTTCGTCTACTTTGAAGGGATGTAAGGGTTTATTTTGATACCATTTATTTTCATGTCTGGGTCGTGATTTAGGGGTAACAGGCCCGAGGCGGGGAGACAAGGGGAGCGCGACGTCAAGGGGGGGGAGCGCGGCGCCTCAGACCCGGCAGGGCCTGGCGGCAGATGGTCTGCGGCATATGGGGAGCCCCAGAAAGGTCTCTTGATTCCTCCAGTTCGGGAGGATCTGAAGTCGTTCGGGCGGCCGAGCGGGGGCCGGAGGGCGGGGGGCAGCCGGTCCCCCCCATGTGAGGAGCTGCCGAGACAAAATGCCGGCCCCGGACATGGCGGCGGCGCCTTTGTTACCCCACCCGGCGGAGGAGCTCAAAATGGCAGCTTTGAGAAAATGTGGCGCAGAGTGAAATGCTAGACAAAGGGGGAAGCGCCGCCCAAGCGGGAACGCGGCCCGGCGGACTCCGCCCGGGGCCGCGACTCCTCCCCTGGTACCCGGCGCGGCCCCTCCCTCCTTCCTCGGCCTTATGTAACCGCGGTTACCTTCATCTTGAGCCCACCCACCGGGGTGCATAATGAGGCTCCCGGGGGGGACCTCCCCTTGTTTTGTAGCGAGCTGTCAGAGCTCGGGGCCGTTCTGTTATCTGCCTTCGGCCTGGAAATGTTTGGCTTTAAGGAAAACCTTTTGTAAATAATTCGAATTGTTTATCTTTTATCTCCCCTTTTGAAGTCTGGGTCTTCTCCCCACCCTTCTAGTTATTGCTTTCACTCACGGAAAAGATAATTGCTACCACCCCTTGGCTATTCTGTGACTAGGGATTTTGTCAGAATCCGTCCCGACTAGTCCAGTAGTTCTTACCAGCCAGATTATAGTTTTACTGACTGGGACACCTGGAAACAAGTGATGTTATCAATTCGATGTGCTCACGGGGAAAATAGTAAAATTGAAATTTCTATTAGTGAAAACTAAGGGTAGGGCTGGCTGGCATAGGAATAGTGCTGCAAGGTGAAGAAAAAAGGCATTCTAGTCCTTGACTTTAGGAATACAGTAGTGTAAGTGAATATTTACTGAATCTTATCCTTTTGTGCTGTAAATTAAATGATTATGTTTTTGAGGCCTAGAGTATGAATCTTTTCTTCTAGGTTTGGGGCCCCTAGGTTTGGAGGAAGTAGGGGAGGACCTCTATCCGGAAAGAAGTTTGGAAACCCTGGGGAGAAACTCATTAAAAAGAAATGGAATCTCGAGGAACTGCCCAAATTTGAGAAGAATTTTTATCAGGAACATCCTGATTTGGCTAGGCGCACAGCAGTAAGTAATTTAAATGTTTTGACCCTTTCTTGGAGTTAGAATCATTTCTGTAAGAGCACAGTATTGATGTTATACTGTGGTAAAGCACTGGTGGTATAGATAACAGCAACATGAGATTTTTTCCCCCCCCTTAAGTAGCAGACTTGAAAGTTGTTTACTCATTACATGTTCATGAAAACTGTTACTGGATGTAATCAAGCTTTTGGTTGGTTTATGGAATAAGTATGTTTCTATCAGAAGGGAACGAAATGCAGTTATTTGGGGAGGGAGGGGCATCATTTGTTTTTTAAAAAATTAGTTTATAGTAAAGTTCTCAGTTTGAGGAATTTGCCAGATGTAAGAGTTAATAGGAAATAATTTTTGGTCACATTTTTTTATATGACTGAATTTTACATTGCAGCAAGAGGTTGATACTTATCGAAGAAGCAAAGAAATTACAGTACGAGGTCACAACTGCCCAAAACCAATTCTAAATTTTTACGAAGCAAATTTTCCTGGTAAGTATTCATTTGGGTCACAGTTCCTGAAATCACATTGTGCCTATTAATTTCCCTAACCTAGTGTTATTTTAATTACAGCAAATGTCATGGATGTGATTGCAAGGCAGAACTTCACTGAACCTACTGCTATCCAAGCCCAAGGTTGGCCTGTTGCTCTAAGTGGGTTGGATATGGTTGGAGTAGCACAGACTGGATCAGGGAAAACACTGTCTGTAAGTCTGAGAGATTTTTGAATGCTATACAAAAACATTTATAAATTTCAAAGTTTGTATACTGTGCAATATTCTTAATGTTTGGGTTTTTAGGAAAGATACTGTGTTATTCAAGTTAGAAGCATAATTAAATTTAAATTGATTTTGTTTAGACTGTAATGCAGCTTTTTCTTCTTCCCTAATTAGTATTTGCTGCCTGCCATTGTCCACATAAATCATCAGCCATTCCTAGAGAGAGGTGATGGGCCTATTGTAAGTTACACTTAACGGTTATTTCTCTATAGGATTATGTAAATAATGCAGATTTTAAATGTTATGTGGTTTAAATTGCGTGGTCTTTTAATTTTCACAAAACTAAAATAATCCAGGTGTTTTTAGATGATGGGTGGAATATTTAATCAAGATTCATCTTTTATGGAACAAGTTTTGGATGCTTCTAGTGGTAGCAAATTACAGCTAAATTTTCTTGCTGATTACCTTCTGACATGCTGAAAATTTTCTCATGACGTTGATAAATTGTTAATTCTAGATTAGTGTCAGGCTCTATGTGCTAACAGCTGTTTTTCCTTCTTAGTGTTTGGTGCTGGCGCCAACTCGTGAACTGGCCCAACAGGTACAACAAGTAGCTGCCGAGTACAGTAGAGCATGTCGTCTAAAGTCCACTTGCATCTATGGTGGTGCTCCAAAGGGACCACAGATACGGGACTTGGAAAGAGGTTTGTAGCAGCCCTTTTCTCTACCACAAAAGGTTTTGATGTGAATTGTGTTGGTACCTAAATTCTTACTCTTCCTGCTCTCTCCCCATTATTTTGATCAGGTGTAGAAATTTGCATTGCAACACCTGGAAGACTGATAGACTTTTTAGAGTGTGGGAAAACTAATCTGAGAAGAACAACTTACCTTGTGCTTGATGAAGCAGACAGAATGCTTGATATGGGCTTCGAGCCTCAGATCAGGAAGATTGTTGATCAGATAAGAGTAAGTTGCTTAAGTTTTGTTGTTTAAACATAAACTACACTCAAAATTGTGGGTAAGTTCTTTTAGACGCCTGATAGACAAACTCATATGTCTCTTTTTAGCCTGACAGACAAACCCTAATGTGGAGTGCAACTTGGCCAAAAGAAGTGAGGCAGCTTGCAGAAGACTTTTTGAAAGATTACATTCACATCAACATTGGTGCTCTGGAACTGAGTGCAAATCACAATATTCTTCAGATTGTGGATGTGTGTCATGATGTAGAAAAGGATGAGAAGTAAGTTTTCATAAAGCTTGGTGCTTTTTTGAACCAGACTAACTGGGTGGAAAAAAACCTGGGTCTTTAAAAGTATAACTCATTCAAATTTTTTTTTTGTGCAGAGTTCGAATAGCCCTCAAGCTGATTTACCTGCTAAAATTTAAAATTGTTTCCATACAACTTTTTTTTTTCCTCTAGACTTATTCGATTGATGGAGGAGATCATGAGCGAAAAGGAAAATAAAACTATTGTTTTTGTGGAAACCAAAAGAAGATGTGATGAACTTACCAGAAAAATGAGGAGAGATGGGTATGTGTTGAAAACATGATAGTAGCTTTTTTTCCTACTGTGCCAATAACCGTGTTTGTGTGTTAATGTTGCAGAGCAGGGAAGACAGAGGTGGTAGGGGAGGTATCGTTTTAGAGGGTTTGGAAATTTGATTTATGATAACATAAGTGTCCTTACTTTGACAAAAAACTAAAAATAAACTAAACCAAAGTGTTTCAATTACAAAAGGGATAAATTGAACTGAAATGGAAATAACTCTCAGTAATTAATCAACGTGATTTATTTGAAGCACTTTAGGGATAGTACATTTTGTATTTTTAAGTCTTATTTTTGTCCCTTGTTACCTGGGTAATTCCTGTAGACCTTAGTTCCTTTATAAGT